GTTACATTCACATCCTACCAACCAGACGAATAAAACACTACAAGTGTGAAACAAGACGGAAGCATAAATAAAATACAATGTCAAGTGTCCAAACTATATGAACTAAGCATATGCCTTTCAATAAATCCACGGCACTTGCAAGTCCCCTTCAGTGTGTACTACACTTGGCCAACGGTATAAATTTCACCGGTGATATGCAGATTGCTGCAGCGATTATTGGTCACAACGAATCAAGCCTAACCATACATTCGGTCACAAAACGGACTGAAGTTAGCTTGAAACGCACTCGAGGAGAAGGGAAGACATGGTAGATAGTAGCAGACAATAGATTTGGTGTCTTGCTCCTTCGATATCGCTTGATGAACAAACGCTTGTTGAATAAGATATCGTACGGGATATGATGGCGGTGACGTTAAGAGGCTGTGATTAGATTCACTATTACGTAAGCCGAACATATGTTTCGCATTTTGTGCCCCGAGAGGGCACAAAACAGACAGAAGAAACGCGGTATTTATCCACAGTCTATAGAGTGCACACTGCGGATTATGAAATGACGCATGCAGATCTCTGTTCCGTTTTGTCAAATTTTATCGGCATTAGCTGTAGTTTGGAATCAATAGCAATACTTAGACCAACTAACCACGTTTTTTCCAGAACCAAAGGGCACAGATAGAAAACTAAAGCGAGCAAAAATCTACCCGGGTCTTCTAACCATACGTACGAGATATGCTCTCGTCCTTTGTGCTAGAAAGGCATGCTCACCGTTGAGTTTTTGGAATGCCATGCGTAAGCGCATCAAAACCGTTGGAGTGCAACCGGCGTGTGAAATCCTATGTAAGCGGAGTTCATATTCTTCCTCATGGGAGAACATTAGTTTGGTGATCAGCGAGTTAGGAAAAGATTTATCTACGCTTAAGAGATTTTCGTGACAAGGCGTTGAATAAGTCTGAACTCCCACTGAGTCCATAAAATCGAAAAATCGTTCACCTGTAGCACCCTTTCGGTACCTAACTGTCACCCCAACCGAAGGAAGCACGAGGGTTGGGATGCCGCCAGGTTGCTCGAGCATAAACAGAAGTCGTGAAGCAGAGGTCCGGTTCAAACCACGGACCTTCCGGTCAGCAAACTCGCGCTCTAACTACTGAGCAATCCCGCCCCCACTAGGCCTATTTATGTGTACTGACCGAAACCTAAGGCCGACGGTTTACTTGGCACTGCTTCGCAGGGGACTTTTGTATGTGGGCCCTCATGTCGAAGCCATTAACATCAGCGGTAAACACATTCAATTCTGACATTTCGAAAGACATGGGAAGCCTTGTGGCTGGAACGGTTGTACTTAATATGTTTATGCAGGTATGTAGTGTTTTTCTAACACGGAGTCGATGCTCCACATAATCATAGGAACAAAATAAGGCTGGGATTCTAGGGACTTGGGGCGCGCTAATAGAGAACTGCATATGAGAAATAGTGGAGTTTAAATGATATGTACAGTGCATTGCTGCGCATTCGTTTCATCTTCCAGTACGTCGTGCCTCTGATGGGGACGAAAGTGCTATTCCGTGACTGTGTTGCGTAATACTAGGTATATTGATTTGGCATGGATGCGACTAGCAAGTGATACAGATGACTAGTCCCCAGTGGCATAAACTGCGCTTCAAATATTTATTCTTGCTCAGGTTGTTTCGGTTGTGCAGAACTGGCCAAGTAGCCTCTTGAATTAAACATCCGAGGTTATCATAACAAAATTTATATCGTTCCACGACGGCATCGGTAAGGCCGTTTTTTGGATCCAACTAAACCTTTAATCTCAAACTGATGAGGTTTGGTGTCATCATCCTAGATTCTAAGCCTAGATGATGCTGCAAGCGGTACATGAAAACTGTGTTGAATGCGGGGAACGAGAATGACTGTGGCGAAAATTCCAACTAAATGCCTGTGAATCAAGCAAATAAGGATAGCTACAACCAATCGGACAAACTGACCGAAGAACAAGAACATACACGTGACACACATGATTGAATCAAAGTGCACTGTCCGGTTTTTATCTTGGATTAGTATCTGGTTGGAGAATGTCATTTTGGTATAGGTCCGCAGCACTAGGTGCGTAAGTTTGTGAGCCTACCGTGCCCAGGTGTTGGCAACCCAATGAACCCTAAAAACACTAAATGAAAACGGGACTCTCTTTCGCCTATCCAGTCAGATGTCACATCACCTAAGTAAAAATCTGAATAAAGTAGCATATTTGTAGGCTCCCTCTAGCCGTACGTCCCCGCTGCAATCCATCCAAATACAGAAAAGCTATTTAATCATCCACTGTGAAACATTCTTCTTGGAAACCGGCAATCTTTATGAGAATACGCATCGAAGGTCTTCCCTTAGCCTCTCTTATGAATTCCTCCATCCGCAGTAGCTAAATCCCAATTTCCTACAGGGCTCGTCATTCTGTTCCCGAGGAATGATCAGTCACATGATCATTTGTCCAGGGGCAAGACACCCGGAATCAGCGTCCATCACGTCGAATGGAATGGTGCCGCGGATCGATTCGCAGCAGAAGACCCCTCCAAATCCATTGCAGACAAATTATGCTTACAAAGAGCAAGGTAATGAGGTCGCATTTTCAGCATTTGAATATGGAACTACAGAGGAAATTCCAAATAGATTAATTGATAGAAAACTCTGGATAATCAGACACAGGATTATATTCGTGATTCTTCCACAAACCACTGAAAGACAGCAAGGTACAGAAGGTGAAGACAGAAGAGTTAGTAATCAAGTATCGATAAGACGGTTCCTTTTCGATGGTAATACCTGAAAAGTGAAAAAAAGCTTAAGAAAGCGGCAACATCATGAAGCAAGCCTAACAGCACCACTCTGCAAGGCAACACATTTATTTAAATCAAAACGAACGGTTTGGTTCGGTGGTACTGTTACGACATCAGCTCCCCTACCAGTCAATACGTCCAATTGATAACATTTTTACACATCTATTAATTCCCATTTTCAATCATACATCGAATGATGCAGGAGCGCTTGATGCCGGTGAAAACACTCACGTCAATAAAAGCTCTATATACCCAGGGGGCAAACTTCCAACCGACTGGTGCTTATCTCGTGCCTGAAACCCGTTCTTTCGGATCACCGTAGAGAACTATGCTTTCGCATTCGTTATTACCGGAGGAAAAATCGCCGTTCTATGGTCAACGACTCGTTCATGCGTTTACACCGAAACCCCGACCCAGGCCAGTAATAGACCTCTGATGTAGCTAGTTATGCAGGTCGTATGACAACTACTGCCCACATCACTTATCAGTACACCAAATCCCAACGGGTAGTTGAGCAGTGTGTCAATGATTATGCACCAAAACATTCTTCATTCGACTTGGCATTCTAAGCCCATTTTTATACGTACATATTGGAAATTCTGGACCAACTGACTGGTGATCTACAGGCAACAAAGAGGACGGATTCTAAGGGGATCTCTTTTAATGAGGGTTTCCACTACGGTCACGCTCCTATACCGTAACCATACTTGGGGCTTACCGACTGGTTTGTATATTGTGATGTCGATTAACGTGGAACTCAGGTGCAGACGGGTGATGCAGAGTGGCGCCCAAAGTAGTTCGGTTGATAGAAGGCTCGTTCTGTAAGCAGGCGGCCGCGAACGCCAATCCGTCCAGGGGTTTTGTCTTCTTGCTTACAGACTCGGGATTTCGCATATTCCCGTCTCTCCTCTATCAACCAGTGTGAATACTGAAACCAAGACTGATATCACTTATACCCATAGTTCATGACCAGGTTCGTCCTACATTTGGAAAGTTGAACCACATAGCAGGAAGTGGAACTATGCCACGGGTCAGCAGGTTAAACAATAGTTTGCTCCGTTAGACAGTCCTAGGCATTCAGTGTTCTGAAATTTTCCCACCAAATTTGTGCTGCGTGTTGCGTGGACCCCATGCATCTCTCAGTGCCATACATTGTACAAAGAGCGAAACGGTTGTATTATAGGCGGATGGGTCCACCTGACCACCCCTCAATCCGACATAACCAAGGGATAAAACCACCCACTACAGTAAAGTCAAGGAATGAGTGTGCTACCACATCGTATGTACCATCAGCGAAATTCTATCTCTCCCAAATATGCACACAATACACAAGATGACAGTTAGAAAAACTACTATGATAGGGAGAAGAGAGTACTTACCGCTGTAACGGTTCCACCAGCGACGGATTCACCCCCAACGCGTAACATAAACCGGCCAAGGGACTTGCATCTTTCATAAACTTCTAAGCATACAGGACGATCAAGAGTAATCTCTACGTCTGCTGTGCAGTTACCTAGTAGGCACCTGTTATAAAAAAGCAAGCAAATACAACCAAATAGTCATGGAGCAGGCCTAATTTATGTCTGCTACACAGGCGGAAAAACAAACGTCCTAAGGCAGAAATCAGATATCTCAAGATAAAGGGGATTCGCTTCAGATTAATCCAATGAACCGTGTGCGGACGATTAAAATCAACATTGCTGTACACGAAAGGGTGACACGTCATGAAAAAAGCATATGCATAGACGTTTGATATGGACAGCAACAAGTAAATTCAAGTGCAAACTTCGAGGTTGCACCTGAACTGAACAGAGAGCATTCTACCGCTAGTTCCTTCTTACCTTGGTTTCTTCACCGTCTTTTCCATCTTATTCTCCCTATGAGTCATTGATTTTAGTTTGGATATGTTGGCCGATACACTGGTGCAGTGATAATAAAAGATGACCTGGAAAAGAGAACAGCGGAAAAAACGAATAAGCTTGACGAACTCGGGTCAGATAGTTGATTAGAATGGAACCGTCAAACAGTTGAAACAACCAGACCAAGCCAGTGAACAAACAATATGGTCAACCAGCGCATGAATGAGAATAGGAATACGGCAGTAGCGCTTTTGAACGAAGTAGTATGGGACGATCGCCCAAAACCCATGGACAGTACACTACCGGTTTCGCTCCGTTTGGGTGTCTTTAGGTAGCTGTAGGCCCCAAAAACTGAGGAAAGCAGACTCCGGCTTGAAGAGAAGTTTGATCGACTTTCTACTTCAAAGATCACATGAATGATGAAACTGCCGGAGCTGGAGACCCGACAGAGTCCCTCGTGATCAATACCACATTGATTTTTTTTCGCGGAAAACAGGATGACTAGAGGTTCAGCTGCGAAGGCATTATTTTGTTTTTGAAATGAGTAGTATGGGACAATTGCTCAAAATCCACAGACAGCGAACTACCGGTTTCGCCATTTCAGCTCTCGGAGACTACGTCTGTCTGATGAGCTCCAAACGGAGTGAAATCCGTAGTGGGGTGTCAACGACAGACGGGTCGTTGACAGACATTTCTGTACCATCTATACACGCTTCAGTGGGATGCTGTTTATACCATTAAGTTAGTACTTTATCCTGAATAGCATTCGTCAATAAACTAAGTAATACAATCAAATGGTCGAACAAAGGTTTCAGCACATAACGAACTTGGGTGGTATTCACATGGCGCGCAATGAGCAGCCCACGATAGCATTTTGGAAATAGGTTCTAGTTACCACAGACAATTCACGACAACTCACTATGACTAGGCACGCAAGAAGGAATGAAACGACGTTATGAAAAAAACGCTGGAGGACTCACTAGTTCAGGTTACATGATTAGTGTGCGGTCTCAGCTGAACGGCTGAGTAATTCGCACCGTGTGGATGAGGGTGAACATAATGAAAGACGGGTAACCCCCTAACGACAACCCAATGAGGTAAGTAGTGCCTCGACTGATTGCCCACACGGAGGACGTACGCAACCTACTACGACCGACTCCAAGTTTAGCTTCTCCGATACCACTTCGTTACCCCAAAGATAGCGCAGTAATGCAGTAGTAATCAAATACATTCAACTGCTTAAATGGCTTCACGAATGCTGAATAGTGCATAGACGGCGTACCATTACAGGTGAACGTCTGTGTCAGTGTCATTCGCGCAGTAATGCAGTAGTAATCAAATACATCCAACTGCTTGAATGGCTTCACAGATGCTGAATAGTGCGTAGACGGCGGACCATTATAGGTGAACGTCTGTGTCAGTGTCATTGTCAGCTGGAATGAGCTGCGTAAACTTTAGCCTTGTAGCACGTGAACGCCAACCGCCCGAACCGTTGTCCAGTTTCGAGCACTCTGTGTGCCTGTTCAGCCACATGAACCATGATAATGCTTGTGCAGTTGAGGGAAGAATTTAGGTCAGACTTGTCATAACTCCACATATGTTACGCGACAACGACCCAGGAAATGAGGATTAATTTACGATGGGGTTAACTCCAAACAGTTAGTTTCCGCTGACCATATTTATTCGAGAGAAATGAAAGATCGCTGCATATTTCGAATGTTCGCCAGAAGCTCTTAAACAACAATGTGGAAACGATATTCGACGTAGCTTACGAAAAGATGTTCGTATCGATTAAGCAAAAAAAAATTGAAAACCGGAGGTATGCGAGTACTTAAGTATCACATCCTATGAGGCCCTTGATATATATTCCCACAAACGGTGGTGCAAGCTGCACTGTTTGTGGCACGATCGACTTTGTTTCCTGAAAATCAGACAACTCATTCCGTTTGCGCTTCAAGTGACTCGATCCACATTTTTACTTTTCCCAACCTACATTCCAAGTTTCAGCTACCTCCATTTCCGCCAAACTTAAGTGTGCGCGCACCAATAACATGTCTGGGGCAATGACAAGTTTCAGACCCACTCTATAAAAACGTGGGCAAGACGGGCAAATACGGTCAAAGAATGAAATCAGTGGAGAGAATGTGCTTCCATACAGAATACAGAACGAATCGGTCACAAATAGCTGAATTTCAGAGGACAGACTGCCTCCCAAAACAGGTGCTTCTCAGAATAGAGACGCCTAGTTGTTTTGTGTGTTCGCCATCTCATACTGAACACTGCGGTTTTGGGTGAGGGTGGTTATGCTGGGAACCCATTCAAAAGCTATCGGTCTCGGCAAATTTGTAAATACCAATCATTATCTTGAAGATCGGCTGAAATAAGTCGAATAAGAATCCAATGAAAACCTCAGTTGCTACCCTTGGATGAATGGGATGTACTAACTCACTATCAAACCATTTTTACTCTAGTAAACTGAATCAGGATAGATAAACGCAAACAACACATCAAAATTATCCAGGTTAGTGAAACAAGTCCGGTATCGGGGAGTAACTGCCGTAATTTCGAGACGTTTCTTTAGCCCACTCACGAAACTCACACAGGGCATAGATGTGATGAATCCGTGTGAACAAACGCGTGATTTCCTTCAGTAGCTTGGAGGTCGTAGAAGTATTTAGCAGAGAACATAGCACGTCCATCATCCTTTTCCTGTGATGATTTCACCGCCGTGTTGGTGATAGATGTGGGCCAGTCACCTGGTTTGACTACAATCCCAGGGTATGAACTTGGCACAGGTGTGACAAACAGATACATTGATGTGTCTGCATAAATTCTGTAGCTTACACGGCGTTATGATAAGAGAGCGGGATCTATGTTAGCCGGTTCATCTTCATTCATGAGTGAATCACGACTTTGAAATCTATAAGCCTAGCCTGGCTAGACCGTCCCGTTAGCACATAGTGCGAAACCTGAGAATTCACCCGGCTACCAAACCACTTTGAATCAAACCCTGAAGCCTTCCTATATCCCTTCAATAGACCAGACCATCGGCCATCAGTTATTTGACTCTCAATGCTCCGTCCCCCTACCCTGTGTTACGCATGCAGAGCGCGTCAAATTAGATTTGTTTGTCTTATCCACGTCTGCATCGAATGAGATAGCAAAAAAACTTAGCATAGCGCGGGAAAAAGGGCACTTTATCTTAAAAATCATCCAATATCTACCGGGTAGCCTCTAGTGATCGGTTGAGGTACAGCGAACACCAGGATCTTTGCCTGAATGCGACTGGCAAGTGGAACTGGATTGTCTGGGTCTGTGATGACGTCACCAGGAACCAGTGACTGGGAAGGGTCGATACCCTGAAGTATGAGAGCAACTTGATCGCCTGCAAAGGCACACTTGACAATCTGATCAAGAAGGTTGGCACTTGAATCACCTGAAACGGGTAAAACCAGTGATAAAACGCAAATAAAGTCAGCAATCTAGCACACGTGCAAGGAGCACATTTTATGAGGTCTGAAGAACAACATAATTCGGTTCCTACGGCAAATTGAAAGCAGCTTCGAAACACAAACCAGAAGCAGTGTACCAGTCCGATTTAGGGCCTTCTTTTAGTTGAGGGCAATTAACACCAGAAGCAAGGAAAAAATGCAACATGACATTCCATCGGACGAATTTAGCCTTAAAAACATTTCAGCCATAAGGTTCGTATGAATGTACATAGGTTGGAGAACTACCCATCTACTACGCCGTGAGTGGGTATCTTAGTTATCTGAAACCAACGATGGATCAATTCGCTCACAAGAATTCAAAATCCATTGCATCGTGTTTTGACAACAAGGTGTCTCGTTTAGTTTGCAGTGATCCGAAGACGGTTTGGAAGGGCAGACCCAAAGACCCAACCCCATCGACACCAACATGCCGCTTCTTCGGGTATCAGTGATCAGTTTAAGTGAACTTGAAGTGAAAGATTACGGGATTGCCACTGTCTCATGTAGCAATGCGGCGAGATGGCTCAGTGGTTAGAGCGAGAATTTACTGATCGGAAGGTCCTTGGTTCGAATCCGATCTCTGCCGCTCGACTTCCCCTGTCCAGGCATTGGCAGACTGGTAGTATCCCGGTGCTTCCCTCTGGTGGCATGACGGTTGGCCACGAAAAGGGTGCTACAGCTAAACGATTTTTTTCATGTATGAATGATGGATCCGCGGTCTTTTGTTTTTAAGCCACAAGTCACGTAACCACTAATGGAAGTGGACTTAGCGTAAATTACTCCGGGGGAGAACACTATCCGGAGACGTTTTCACGCGCTATAGGCGGGGCAGAATCACAGGGGGAAGTAAAATGTGCCAAAAATGATGACTTATTCGGCGCTACCACGAACGCATGTTATCATAAAAACAGAAAGCAACATAGAAAACAATCCCGAAGATGAGCCTGATTAACCCTGTATACACAAAACGATCCTCTTGGCTCTTTTTCACCACCGAGCTGTATCCACTGGTTCAACCACAACTTCCCTGAATATTTAAATGGCACCGGGTTCGAAGAGAACCACCCATTTTTGTTTGAAAGACGACTATCGAAGCTAGGCATAATCGACTAATACACATGTCCTTCAAACTCGTGCTAGGGTTCAGGCTACGTCAAAGTAGGCAACGAAGTATGTGGTTGAACACTGTCGTTGATGCGGGCAACGTTTAGAGAAACTACACTAGACACAGATAAACACGATATGCTCAGGGATGCTTGACGTAATGGCCACGGTGGCTTATATAAATAAGTTAAATTCCCTTAAGATGATTACTCTATACGTAGTGTGTTCTTTCGTGTTAAGGACTGCACCGTAGTGATGGTTAGATGGTGAATTCAAACAAAAAGAACATCAAATGAGAAGGGAGCTGTTGTTGTCTAGCAAAACTACTCACTTTCCACTGGCTCTGAACCGCTGCGCACGTTACATAGAGAGCGAATGGATTTTACAGTCGCAGATAGGGCACTCGGTTGACAGAATACCTTACTGGTGTTGAGTCCAACACCTGCAGACACTCCACCAGAAATTACACGGCCAGCCACAGCAGGGACACCCAAACCAGCCGGCTTGAAGATATCACTGACGACAAAACGGAACGGTCCGTCGATCGTCCGATCGGGAGAAGGCAATGAGTCTGAAAATGAAGGAAACCGCTTATGGAAACTGCAGTCAGCTGGTCGTTTTCTTAACAATAAATAGGTAGGCAAATAAACAAATGAACACAATAGTTGACAATGATAACAGTCGTTTAGCTGCAACGCCCTTTAGGTGCCTAACCACCATGCCACTTGACGAACACACGAGAGCTGAGATACTATCAAGTTTCCAAAGCCAAGAAAGGAGTTGTCGAGATATCGGTGTTGGATTCGAACCACGGACTTTCTGATCAATAAGCTCACGGTTTAACCACTAAGCTATCTTGATCTCAAATCACTACAACATAAATAGGAGATACCTATATACACAGAATTTTCAGGTCCATAAGTGAATATGTAACCACATTTGGAAAGATTTTGAGCGCTGATGCATTCAGCGGCAGCATACCTCAAGGGATGTACGTCAAGTCAAACTTAATAAAAGAAACTGAACACAGTTCTGGACTTTTATAAATGCACAGCCTACAAACTGATATAGACCAAAGTTACAGGCACTCAGCAATCATACTTTGCGTTCAAACAATTAAATCAAGATTGGCAGTGTCCAAAACGGAAGCTATCAGCGAATCAGGGAGAAGGCCACATCAGTATCAGGAACAGAAATGAATCCGCTCTCGAAGAAAAAGCTTTTCAAGAAGCCTCAGACCTTGAGTCTTTTGATCAGGTTGACGAAGTGAGTAAACAAAGTGTGAAATATGGTGGACGATAATCGATAAGGTCCCACCCATGCATCTACGTGAGCACGGTTCTAGAAAACCAATAAAATTTTGAAACAAATCCCGGTAGGTACAAGGCGACAAGATTGGACCAGCTTAACACATGTTGAACTTCTTCCAGCTTGTCATGTTACTCCCACTATCAGTGACAAACCTGCAAACTTACTCAAATCCCATCTCAAGGGTAATTATCAAAATAGAAAGCTGCCTCCGAGAACAATCATCCAGATGGTGGACCACTTGATCAGGGGTCAAATTTATCAAAAATAAACATCAACCAACCCAGGTGACTCAAGTTCAAGGGACTTTCAAAAGATCGCATTGAATATAAGTGGGCCATTTTCGCTGTATTAACATTCTACAGTCCATCCGGATATTTCGTGGTCCGGAAAGCCAAGAAAACTTTCAAGCTTATCGTGTCATCAAGTACAGTGACCCAATGCAACCGGATATGAGACCACAGCTAATGGGGAAAGCACTCTCAGAATCCAACTACTGTGAAGACTGCGGTGAATACAGCCCTACTAGGCTTGGTGAAACGAGATCCGTTTGTTAGACAATGGGGTCCGTTAGTATCTTTTCATTACCAATGGCAGAATAAATCCTCCCCCTGTACATACTGTAAACTACTTCGCAACACGAGAGTTAGCCAAGCGAACTCACCAGAATTAGGCGGGATACAGGGAAAAGGCTACTCAGCTAGTAACCTCTTACCCTGAGGCGAGCCCTAATCGAGTATGTATTTAACTGCCGTTCAGGAGATGCAGAGACCTTGCTATTGTTTTACTGGCAACAAGAAGAATGATCAGCACGTTCTGACGCCGAACACTATTTCCCTAAAAGCTTCATCACATTTCACCAAAAACTTCACGAGGAACACAGTATTTTAGGCTTCATCTATGGGCTTGTGTAACTCACCAATAATATCGACCAGAGAGGGTCCATCATACCAACTTCGCAGCCTTTCTTCGCCGGCCTGATCGCTATCTTTGCCAAGTACAGCCGAACCTGTTGGAAGTAAGTTCACACCAGTCAAACCTGAAACTGGACAGAATATGGTGCCGGGTAAGTTCAGGCCTTTCAAAAATCCATTCATCTGAGTTTTGATTGCATCGTAACGTTCCTGCTTCCATTCGACGGTGTCCATTTTATTCACCGCAACAATGAGGCGCGAAACCCCTAGAAGACGCGCCAACCGAGCGTGTTCTCGAGTCTGGCCACCCACGCCAAATCCGGTTTCAAATTCCCCATTGGTCGCGTTGACGACTAACAGGGCAGCATCCGCCTGAGATGCACCACCGATCACACGAGGGACGAAGTCCTTGTGTCCAGGGGCGTCCATCAACGCTATCTGTGCAACAGACGAAAAAAGGAAACATCCTAAGGGAGAACCTGATACTAGCGGTCCTAACAACAGCCTATTTATAAATAACAATTTTACTGGTAGCGCAGTATCAATGATCGTGTTAACCGGTATTGCTCATCAACCTTAATACACTTAACAGCTTACAAGAAGTAATTCTAAAAACATACTCTTTTAGTGGCAGTCTCAAAAGAGGTCTGCGCAATATCCATGGTCACACCACGCATGCGCTCTTCAGCGGTTTGATCCAGGACCCAGGCATATGCGAAGGAAGCTTTGCCTAACTTTTGAGCCTCCCATCGATATTTCGACAGCTGTTTCCCGGAAACATTTCCCAACTGACAAAGCATATTCCCCATTAAGGTGCTTTTACCAGCATCGACGTGGCCTGCAAAGCAAAAAGCAGAAGGAATAATCCGAAAGCAGAAAGAGGATTGCAAGGAGAGGTAGCCAGTGGGGACATAAACACAAGCGCCAAGAACCCAGGATCTTGAAGTGATCTAAGATTAACCTAAGCCTTGATGGAGTTCCACAGGAGTGTGGTACAATCGATTGCATGACGCTCAATTAAGCGAAAATTCACTGGAGCCTTTCGCTAACCGGTTTCTTATTGATTAGAATGACAACTGGACTTACGCATTCGACTGTTTCTACGTTCTCGTTTCTACATTTGTACATCATGCTGCTCAATCCCAGCTAATATAAAACGAACGCGTGTCATTTTATATTTCGCTGTTTATTTACTCAGTACCACGAATCAAGATGGTGACAACAGTAATCCGCAGTTTTCCGTGTAGCCGAATAACTCGGAAGTGCCGTAGTAGCTCTCTTGTGAGAGAAAGCCCTGAGCCAGGTGGCCCTCAAAGTAAGGGATGTTAGAAACCTCATTCAGTAGACTATGTAAAATCCGTTAAAGTTGGTCCCTAATTCGTGGAAGAGAAATGAGCTATTCAACATTACTTGAAGGTGCGCAAATGAAACGCCCCTAGTCAGCAAAGTAACGCAGCGAAGGTAGGTATCCGAGGCAACTGTGAAAAATGCATTTTCGTTCGAAACAACACAGGTTACATGTTTTCACTGAGAAAGATCGGATTCAGTGATGAAGAATGCTTGACAGCATAGCAAACTCTACATAGAGTGAAGCACTTTCGCAACAAATGCTTCGTCACAGCCAGCACTTTTCAGCTTTGCCGAAGACCATGTACATGGTGTAAACATCGTCATTAAAACCAATTTTCCTACGAGTTTCGTTCGCTAGGATAATTCAATGTCCTACTTAACAAACCGCCTCCGTTAGAACGGAACTCAGTTCTAATAACTTGAAAGTGGTAACCCAGGAGGATAAGAAAGAAGGTGTCGAAAGCGCAACAAACTGAAACAGGGAGCTAGGGAAATGCCTGTTGTTACACTTCGGCGACGCTTTGAGTGCTCACTACGATTCGGTCCGGCAGTTGTAGTTTGTTACAACATCCAACGGTCAGAAAAATCTAATTTAACTAAGAATGACTTGCGACCGGATATTTTTGGAAGATCAGTCTGATGATTCCAGGAATTATCGTGACCTCCCACCTGCACTGATCGAAAAGGAAGTGAATTCTATTGTTAGCGCTTGTCCGATCCGTTTGCCTGAATTTGGGAAAAGGAGTATCCCAGACAGTGCCCATTTTTGGAATAGGGTCTCATAGTGAGTGGCCAACCACAGCTTGACACCGGTAGTAACGAGACTGTTGGCGTCATTTCATCGCATTATGGTGGCTCATAAAACACCAACTTGAAAGCATCAAGTGGGATTTTGGCCTGGTATGGGTTGCGTTGACCAAATCTTCACACTACGTCACATGCTAACACAACGCCGTACGTACAAGCAACCAAAAATTTTAGTACTCCTGGATTTCCAAAGCGTATTCGACTCGGTTGACCGGTGTGGGAAACATGTGATCATAATAAGTTCTTTGTATTCCCAGGCTTCCGAGCGTGTGAAAGTATATGGAGAGCTCTCTAAAAGCTTCAGTACACAAAGCGGTGTCCCTCACGGGTGCCCACTCTTTCCATTCCTATTTGATTTTGTGATCGATAAAAATGAAGAGACCGGCGCTGGAAGGTCCTCAAACCTCTGGTGTTGAAATAGCCTCTGATGAAAACCTTGTCGATCTGGAATACGCAGGCGACGTCGTTCTCATTTTCGAGAAGAACCTACTGGTGTTCATGGATGAATTGATCAAAGTCATCTCGTCCTTTGATATGCGCTTTCCATCCACAAAGTGTATGGTGATGCTTCTGGACGTGCATCAATCGAACACGCAACTTACAATCCAAAAAGGGACACGAGAAGTTGTTAAGTGCTTCAGATGTTGTATTCATCATCATCATCATCATCATCATCATCATCATCATCAATGACAGCAACGTTGGCACTGATGCTTCACTGCCGTACTGTATTAGTTGTATTAGTTATATTAGTTCTGGTTGTAGTGTGACAGATGATGTCAATACACAAAGCTGTACGGCTTGGATGGCGTGAAACATCGGACGGCAGTGAAGCACCGGTATTGAACACTGTTGTCATGCTGTCAATGATGATGATGATGGATGGCGTTTATTAATTTGCGACAATTATGGCGTCTCAAAGGGCATGTTAATCAGATCATAGTACGGGCTGGTTTGTTGTATGGCTCTGAGACTTTGCCTATTCAAGCAGCGAAGCTGAGGAGTGTTCAACAACTGCTGTTTGAGGACTATAGTTCATGTGGGTTGTTGTCAGCGAATGCGGAACGAGGTAGTTAGAAAGCGAGTTTTCGGTTGTGCGAAGGAGACTTCCATTGAAGAATGTGTCCGGCGCCAGAATCGGCGTTGGTTAGGCCATGTATTGCGTATGCCAAATAGAGAGCTGTTTTTCGTGCTCAGCTCAAAGTGGCGGAAGCAGAGAAGTGGCCAATTCTTGACCTAACAAGCGGGTCTGAAAAAGATTGCGGAACGTTTGGGTGCTGTCGGTGATACTCAGGATGGGGCCCGTGTGATCCCCAGTGAACCCGGTTGGAGACGTTGCAAGATATGTCTGTTAACCGATGCAAGTGGCGTTCTTGTCGTCAGTTTCTATCCAGATTGTCTGAATGAGTGTCAGGAAGTGTAGATACCTCGGGATGACTGCAATGGGCTAGCACTAAGTACCTTCACCGTCCACTTATATTTTTTTCACGATAAGGCTTTCAAATAAATAGGTGTTCAACACTGTCACGCCGTCACTGATGATGATAACGACTTATCGTGATGAACCGAAGACAAGTAACTTACCGACAACAATCAAATTAATAACCTCCTTCTCGGACGTATTCTTCCGGCGATCGAAGTACTCGGTTAAAAGGGGAGTACGGTCAATTGGCTTGCTGGGAGTGCCCGGCGTAGATAAAGCTAAGAAGGATCCCCGACTGGACATTGAACGTTCCTTTGGCTGTGGTGTAACGTCCAACTTTTGTGACAACGCTTGGGATAACTTTCCCACTTCTGGAGGTTCTCGGCTCTCAGATAAGATTGGCTTGTTGTCAACCTTGGTCGCCTCTTGAGTAGCTTATATGAATGAAACGTTTGAATGGAACATTAGTCTAAACGTTGAGAAAGCCCTAAACAGCTTCTGATAAAGCTTAAACGCCAATACATATTACAATAGACTGAGTGATAAATTCGGAAAGTTTTGAACGATTTCACAGTGGGATCTTTCTTCTGCATACATGTCCCACATTACATGAGTAAAGATACTAAAGTGTAGAAATGATCAGCACGTAACCACGTAACAACGCAATTGATTCTAAGTTAGTGTTCTGAGCGAAAAGGAAAATGGGGATGAAAATCCCATTTCCAGCTGAATCTCTTGTTTATGATATTCTTCAATTGAGTTTTCTGCACAAAGTGCGCTAGTCTACTGATCAAAGAGTATACACCGTTCCCTCATAAGTAGATTTTTCGAAATGCATACAAACTTGAGTTCAAGTAGAAAACAAATTTGGCGCAAAGTCGGGGATCGTGCCACCTGATGAGCCCCATTAGCGAAAACGGTCGTGGGATATCGAATAGTATTCAGGAACCTCAAGAGTATATTTCCGCAAAAGAAAATTGAACTTGTTCGGACCAACAGAAGCAAGTACAGTCTTCGGTACAACGATTTTTCGTTGGCATCGCTTAACTACAAGTGAACTAACCCTCCAGTTGTTTCAACTCGAACCGAACAACTGGAACCAATTCATTACGATTTTCACTTTCATGACGAACTTTTGATTTTCGTATACCAAAACTCTTTTCTTTGGATTTTACTTTCAAGCTGTAGTTTTAAGTTGGTGTACCTTCGGACATTGGTTATTACAAACAAATCAACTGAAATTGTGGTTGCATTAGCTGGGCCATGTATGAAGCAAATAAATGCTGGTGAGCCCGAACTTGAGTCTACAGCTTCCCCTATTTGACGCGGACTAACAAGAACAATTACGTCAGCACAGAGGGAGGACCGTTCAAACGTGACTGCTGTGTACAAAGTAACCCGAACGCAACTCAGCGGCCACCGACCACTTTTAATCAAGCAAATCGAAAGGCGATTCGCAAGATATTACAATTTCATCTTACCTGTTCGGCCCCGAAACTAGAGACGTGCTCTAGTGATATAACAATCTGTACAAACAATATACTGTATACCTCAACCTCTACAAACATACAATCCATTTTATTTCACCAAGAGTGGTTGAGCTTCCCATCGACATAATAGCATCAGGTATAAAATATCATAACTAATGATGTATCCTTGCTACAAAAAATGTTGCTAATTCCAAAAAACCTATGCTCCAATGTGATACTACAAACCAGTCAATGTGAGGACTCGGAGTTAACGATTGGCCGGTATAACAAGCCTTGAAAAGGACTTCCAATATGCATAAATCAACCATGAGTGCAGTGTTTTCCTCAAACTAAGCACAGAGGGAAGCACAGAGAGAAAACGTGTCGGGAACGGACTAACAACAGTGGTTTTCTAGATGTCCCATCATATCTGAACGGACCCAAATAAACGCTCTGAGAAACCAGCATGATAAAAGTGTCCGCGAGTCTATTCTTGTAATTACAGCGGATAACGGTCAGTGTAAATCCATTCGCCATGGGTTTTGTCTCCGAATAGCTGCATGAAACAGGTCTGTAGTTCGATGTCTAAGGGTGCACGTTTGGTCAAAGAGGATTGTCATAACATAGCCTTGTGGAATGTGAGATCGCAAGTATGAGCAATATACAACTCGGTTAACTTCCTTGACTACTGGCGAAAAGCCTGTTTACTGATTTATTTCAGCCACCATACCGAGTGTCTTTTAAGAATGAAGGATACGAAATGTAGTAACGTGGGTAGCCTGTGATAATCGCTTTGTTGGTAATATACAAACTGAAGCTTCTGAAAAACACCTTTGGACTAAGGTGAGGCATGTTTAACATTACTTGTGGTTCTAAGGGTCGAGTCGATAACAAGAAAAGTCACTAAGCAATCCATTGCACTCTGGAATAGTTTCACCAAGCCATCCACACGAAAGGCAAGCCAAACTCTGCTGTGAATTCGGCAAACAGACTAACAACCAAGCAGCGCATCCGAGCTACCAACATTCCACAATATTATCAAAGTGATGACTGTAAATAATCGATAGATGTGCATGTGCGTACCGATCGGTGGCCTCCTTTTCCGTGGTGCTGGGAGGGCAGACTTCAACCTCTGAGGAGGTCCCGTTGAATTGCAAGTAGCAAATATATTCGGCTCTGGAGTGCTGAACTGAAATGGCTTTCTATGGCCTGGCACAATCCAACCGGAATAGACAGAAAGAGAGCGAGATCGGACAAATACTGGCAATGCTCTCCACATCACCGTATCAACTAAGGATCCCCAGAAGGTGCTAGATGAGTGCTTAGATGACATAATCACACCAAGACTACTTGGACTTTTATAACCTAGCACATCTCTACTAGAAATGGAGAAGGGAGCTACAGTATGCTTTCGTTTTCCTGCTACCGTCTTAGACTCCAAAGGGCTGTACAGAGACGATCCCTGTTTGAGAAACTCCATGCTAGCTTTGGAGAACATGCCGGGTATCAAGCGTGCAGGAGTGGATAAAGGTGGATGCGCTGTAGGGTACGTTACGCTCTCAGGTGGACGATTAAAGTTTGAGTGTGAGGTCGAAGTTAGCCGTTCAAATTCATCGAACTCCATTTCTTCCAAATCCTCAAACGTGTTCGGGTTAAAGTCATCATAGTGGAGACTTCTGTCAAATCGGCCAGCTGGACCCAGCAGAGAATTCACTAGGGTGAAAAAAACAAACAATAGTCTGACATACCTGGTGTCATAAAATCAACGGGATCATCAAAGTGAGGCTCGCTGGGTTCTAAATCAGCCGAAACGCCATTGTCAGGCCTTCCTTCGTTGACATTCGAAACACCATTTGACCTAATTCGTCCAGTAACATCACCAGGAGAACAAACTAAGAAAAATGAAGTTCGAGGAGAGATCGAACCTTCCGGTTCTTGTATGTTTGCAGGAAAATCTTCCGAGGAAAAATGCAGGGACTCGGAACTGGGTCCAAAAAAAGCCAGCGAACGAGCTTTACGTTTCCTAGCATCGTACATGTATAACTCCGCTAAAAAATCTCGACCGACCAAGAGTGATTCAAACCTGTATTAGGTGAGATTGCGTAGTCATCATCCACTGAACTTGCTAATGTTTCATCGTACGTCGAGATATCTAAGAGTAGGATGAAACTGCACTCGTTCGTTTACCATCTAATCCTAGTTGCCGGATGTTCCTGTGACGCGCCATAAACTACAGGTCGCAGGTAAACTCAGGATGATACGGCAAATCCGAGATTGACCGAAAGCTCACTTGAGAGCAGTAAAACAGCTGTGGGGAACAGAAGATAAATCAGTTAGGTTACGCGAACATAGCAGTTAAGCCTTTTGCTTCTGTTCTGCTCGAACGGGTGTGGAAAGCTCGAGGCACACGAAAATAACCGAAGTTTTCTTCTGTCCCACTTACTTCAGTGCATCAGCTATAATCCATCCACCAAGAGTACGGTGGTTTCAGCTGTTACAGTTCAGGTCACGAGGAGTGGTAGAGCAGGGGATGTTTAGCCAGGCATTGGGGAAGAGCATAAGAGCTTAGTTCTTGCAGAACCGATCCGCTTTCATATTGCGTTACTAAGTCATGGATAGTGTGTTTCGCGATTTTTTCAGGACAGAAACTCCAGATGAGAAAACCGTTGCCTCACTGTCGTACAACCATGTCACTGTATTTGAAAAAAAGCTTTATAACAGAAAAACATTCGGAAGGGAGGGGAAATAGGGCTAAACTACCACAAACATCCAAGGTACATACACTTCCATCACTGTTAGATAATCCAAGCGGGAAATGACAGTATGAACGCCACTGACATCGGTTAGCCCTCATATCGTTCAGTATCTCAAAACAGGCACAGGGGGTCACGTGGACCCCATCCTGGAAGGCGAACAGCGCCAACATCACCAAAAGATTTCGTAACATCGTTCATTCCCTTTTGTCATGTCAGCCTCTGTCCATCTCTAGGTTCTCGGCACTTCTGAGCTGGGCGCCGAAAACAGCTGTCGTCTCGGCAGGCGGCAACGCAGTCTAGTTCAGTCACCTTAGCTTGCAATGTTGGATGCATTTTGATGGAAATAGTCTATGCTTTACTAAAAACCAGTATCCTGATCAATTCACTGAGAATTTACCAGCTCCAACCAATTCCACCCATACTTTTGAGACAACAATGTTCAGAAACCAGAAAATGTATCATGTCCTCCCCCAAAGTGACCAAGTCATTCAGCTGTAAGACAATACATTCCGCATTATAGGGTGATAGACACATTCTTGGAGATACAGTGGGGCGCCTTTTTGACGCCAAAACCAGAGCCCATACGGTCTCGCCATAGCTGGAATCCAGCTTACTGTTCTCGGATCTCCTCTTCGCGCGTCTTCGTAAGACGACGTAGGATAAGCGACGCAAAGTCTGATTACAACGAGAGTCAAGTTAATTCTTCTGTGACTGTCACACGCACCGCAAGCAGCCTTTCTGAAAATAGGCACCACCCGTTAGTTGGGACGGTCTCTCTCCCACATAGAGGCAAATAAGTTAGACAAGTACCAACTGGGGATTTCACTTCCATCTTTGAACGGAGTGGGTGGGAGTTCGTCAGGACTGGCAACCAGGTGATGCTTGAAGGGGAAAATGCATTCACTTACTTCAGGAACCACAGAGGGTTCCGAGTTTAGTATTCAGGGCTGAGTTGCGAACTGGTAATTCATCCTATCAACTGCAGGTAGACAGTTGAACTGTAGTTGAAAGTAAGCAGCCGAAGGATCCAGGTGCAGTCTTTTTTGCAGGTAAGCGAGGCGATGTATATGATTGGTTTCACCCACCGGATCTTCTTTGGAGTAAGCAGCCGAAGGATCCAGGTGCAGTCTTTTTTGCAGGTAAGCGAGGCGATGTTATATGATCGTTTCACCCACCGGATGCTTCTTTGGACCCGTTACGCATATCATCCTGAAAACCTTACGCACACTCCTATAAGGTCTCCACTTCTTCGGGTTTCTTTCGGCTCAGCAGAGGGCTGTGAAGCTTAGGCAACCTGGCAGTATCCCAACCCTCGTACTTCCTTCGGGTAACATGACAGCCAGTCTGAACGATTATCTAGCGATAACTGGTGTTTATTCGTCGGGTTAGCATATGCACCGACAGACCTGAGAGGGTTTTAACAGGAGGTGTCGCAGCCGCCTCAGCTAGCAAGAGGAAAGGATACAGTCATGCTGGAGGGCGATAGGAAAGTTCATTTTGGATCACTAAGCCCGAAAGAAGTTCAATAAGGTGGTAGATTTTGGATCGATACTCAGCGTACGGATGATGGGGAGCGACTGCCTTAGTTGCGCGCTGAACAGTATCTTTTCCGGGTGAGTACGAAATAGAGGCCACCAACCGCAAGCCAGTAGGATCGCATGTTCAGCAGTTACCGATGTAGAGCCCCAATAATTTTTTTCCTTCCTTCTGGGGTTCTACCCCTGACTCCGATCCTGTAATTTTTATCACGTCGCTTTCCGTCAACGTCAAGTAGAGCTAATGCACTCATCAACTTAGGTAAGTTCCAGTAGTTAAAGAATATCAAGCAGACTTGGCTAAAAAGCTAATGAAAACGCTGTTATGCGGGTGACGAAGATTGCTTGGGAGTCGAAACGAAAGGAGTTAAATAAGTTATGCCCTCAGTTTTAGGAACTGTTTGTCAAAGTCATCTGACTTGACTAAATGAACAGTGGATATCATAGAGACCATCAGGTCGTATTGTCGCTAAGAAGGCCATACCAACAACTGACGACTATGATGGCATACGCAGACCCCGCAAAGACCGGATAATCAAGAACTTGAAGAATGACAGAGAACACTCATGGATTGCGAAGGCCACGGACTTGGAAAAGGCTTTTTCTGCAGGCGACAGCCGCGCCCTATCTCAGGCGATTCGATCAACCGGCCAGAAGACAGGTGTCAGCCAAACGATGTGCGAAAAAGATAGAACGACGACCCAATCATAAAATAGTTTTACTGAATGATTGGTTAAACGCTTTATAGAGCAGTTCAATTGCCCCCCGCTTCAACACAATGCGTGAAAGGAGCTGAAGAGCATGAATGAAAATTTGACATTAGTCCGTCAACAGCGGAAACCCAGCGTGATATATCATTCTTCTAACACGACAGGGTACCCGGTCCGGGTGAGCAACACCCCACACTCTGGTGAACAGTCTAACAACCCAACTACGGACAAAGCCGGAATACCAGTGGAAGAGAACGCCTCGATCATGATCTGTGATCACAATGGGTACAAGAACGCCACATGAAGGCCTTTGTGGCATTATTTTGTGCTGATTGATAGATTATCGAGAGACCAACTCGTGAGCACCAAGTTCGGCTTCGCTCTAAAGAAGGATGAACTATACCTTTAACTTCAGAAAAGTTCTTGAACGATATCATAAGCAGCTGTACAGGCCGCGCACTTGACGTAGGCGGAGGATGCAGGCGACGAAGTTAGGGCATGGCATTATTACGTATGTCCTAGTAAGGGCAAATAAATGATGTGGTACGGATTCACGGATGGACACAAACAAAAAAATCGTTCAGCTGTAGCACCCTTTCGATGCCTAACTGCCATGCCACACGAATGAGGCACGTGGGCTGGGATACTGTCAGGTCGCTCAGGCCTAGACATGGGAAGTCGAGAGGCAAAGGTCGGGTTCGAACCACGGACCTTCCGGCCAGCAAATTCACTACTTGGTCCATCAAGGATGGGTACACAGGATCGAGGCTTTCGCCCAAGTTTCCGGGGCCGGTTTTGTTCTTGTCGTTCGGCGGCTGCCATGGGTGTTAAAAGGAAATGTGTAGGAATCAAAACGCGATGCACCATATATGAAGAAGTTTTGGCGTAGTTTGGGTTGTGCTTAGGACAAAATAAACATTTCAGCATCACGATCGTTGTGGGATCATGTGGCGCACTGTTTGTCCGAAACAATACGTGGCCAGAGACACAGCATGACATCCATACATGTCGAACGCCGCCGAATGTTCCCCACACGTTTTCTAGCTTGACTGACAGTCACTGCGTGCGCCAAGCAACAGCGTGGCGGGTCAACATTGATTTGCCGTAAAATTCCACAACAATTTTAGGAGTGTTCTGCTGTCCCTGAGAAGCGGCCGGGTAAATATGACGGCTTCGACTGGTGTTGCGAACCGTGAGGAAGTTGTAAAATCTACCAACAACTTTCCGGTTCACACTCGTAGGGTGAGGGTCACTGGGTGCTTCGAAACGACAAACGTACGGGTGTCAAAAATTCAACACATCCGACATGCTGTCCAAAGCTATTCAATCACTGGTTACACGGACATATTATTCTCTACTCGTTTCGGGAGATGGACCACTTGGGATAGCTGGACGTGACGTCGAACTTGCATGGGGCGAACCGGCTAAAGACCACAGGAAGACGTGGCCTACAAGGTCAGAATATGAACCAATCAGAATCGGAACTTACAGGCCCAATGGTTCCTTTCGTACCCAGTAAGGGAGGAGCTTCTTTGATATCCACCTTGGGTCGAGAAAACGTAGGGCCAGTTGCAACGGCAAATTCTGGTGTGGCCCTCAGGTGTCTCCCTGGAACTGTGGAACCTGCGATTGAAGTTTGATGTTATCCATAAAAGTGTATAATAGTAGGGAATGAAGAAGGCAATAGACATGGTCGTAGAAAAAAGTTAAACTGTTTGTGCGGTCTTTCTTCTTAATAATCATCCGCTCTACTTTTTATTCTAGGTCTTTGCTAGCTTTTTATTTGTTTTCGAACCTAAGCATGATATTGCACTGGCTGAGCCGTTGCGGGCCGTTCATCCAGGAGCGGCATCAGCGGTAAACCGGCTGCCATCAAAATCGGTACAAGTTCTAACTTCACTTTAATTTCAGCGTTAAATCCCAAAGTACTCAAAGAATCACTCAAATGTTTCATTGCATTTATGCCCCCAAGCTTTACTGTGTTAATTAGTGAAGTTCAATGCAATAGTCCCTGCTGCATTTCAAATACGATGGTTCGCGTCTATTAGATCTTAAGTGCGCCGTTATGCTTCAGCCTTTTGCAATAACGATCAATAGCTTTTGTGAAACAGACAGACAGATGGTGCTGACGACAGATTGTGATGATTCGCTCATCAGAGCAACACCTCCGGAAGGGTTTGCGCGCACCAGGACTGACGTGACCCAGTTGAAAAGCAGGTGGCACAGCAGAAACTCTGGTCAGAATGCTAACACCGTTTTCATACCAGGGTCGAGTGAGGGCTCAGTAACAGGGCAGCGGATTACTTTCGTGTCCGTTTCTTTTCGCACTTTAGTAAGCATGTCCCCATCGATATCTTGTAGCCCAACCTGTTGGTTCATTCGGTAACTTCTTGTGATCGTCACTTTGGTTGTGCAGGGGTGTTCTCGTCGGAGTTCATGTTGCAGTGACTGTAGGGTGTGCCCCTCAACATAATTATCTGTGATTCTACCAGTTAATGCAGATTCTGTGATGAGACGGAGGCAAAAATTCGACCGCTTTGACGACAGCTACCACCTCAGCTTCTGGGTGCCTAGCATGGCTCACTCCCTATAACGGGCTGCCTGGTCATTAATTTGTATTATTTGTCGCCACACTTATAAGGCACAATACATAGTAGCAAGTCCGGTAGACAGTTTTCCACACTCTTGCTTCACGTGACGTAATTTTAGATGGGATTTCACTGGTTTCGTTGATCTGCACTTTATCACCATATACATACATGCATACAGGTCGGGCGAAGATATCCAAACGACCTGCTTCGACACACTTGACTATCTTAGCCACAACCACTTTCAAGTGCCCCCGATGACACCTTGTGAACATCACTGAGCAGACCACATTAAACGTTTAATAGTGTTAATTAACCTGCTTGACTGATCAGGTCTCAAATGTGGTGGAAGTCATTAGACTCCACAGTAAACTGTCTGCGCTTGAAAACTGTGTGCAACTAGTCAGGTACCCTGGTAGTGTTAGAACAATTTATGTTGTGGCTGGATAACCACGTGATTACACCTATTAAAGAGCTTTCAGGTGGATGTCAATGCGGCTCAATGCAAACTGCGTATGTAGATGCTGAATGCGCGCTGGAGCCCATCGGAAATCAATCTGTGACGTATGAATTAAGAAATATATATCATAGAATACATGAGCACTGGCGGTACGAGGCATTTCGGGTCGTAACGGCCCACACAATATTCGCTTTCAACATGAATTATAAATCAAATTTTCTGAGTTATTGCAGCGGCCCTATTCTAGTTGTGTGGACCCCTTTGGCAAACTCTAATCTTGCTGTTAAGAAATGCGCAGCCTGAAGTAGTATGGCAGTGCAAGGATGAGACACAACATGTTAATTACTCTGCTTTTCATATTATCAATCTTCACGTTTCGCCTTATTGCGCACTTAGTTGCCTACCAGGCCTCTACCCACCCTGGAAATACTCTGGTTCCCCTTCACTGAACGCTGTCCTCATAGTTGCCTACACCTGCACTTTCGGCTCTTCCCGTCTCCAAATCAACAATCTGCCGTCTTATTCTGTTCCAAAAACAAAACCCCTTCACTAACTCGAGCAGCTTCTTCCTTGACCCCCCTCCAACACAAATATCGATGGGTCTATCCAATTTCTCTGTACACCAAATTTACTTGAGGCAAACGGCCGTCTATCTATAGTGCAAATAATAACAATGTTTATTTGCAACTTGTGGGTCTAATTCTGTCTGGCATGATCGTACGTTTACGGTCAGAATGCAGCATGACGCCGTGGGCTAGACGCACGCCGAAAATTTCTCTGAAACCGTGGTTCGAAGGAGGAAAACTTTAACATAAAGTTTTAACATTTGATGGTAATTTTTCGGGCGTATGAGATCTTCCCAAACGGCCGCAGTTTTGTTGAAAGTTGTTTAAATCTACTCAATCCACACGATATTCAAGACCCGGGATATTCATATTTTAAATGGCTGCTATGGCTGAGC